CTACTACTACTATTACCCTACCACTACTGCTACTGCTACTGCTACTGCTACTGCTACTGCTACTGCTACTGCTACTGCTCTGCTACTGCTACTGCTACTGCTACTGCTACTGCTACTGCTACTACGACAACACAAACCCCATACTCTCAACAGTTCAGATCCAAACCTGAGCCGAAAGAACAGTGAAGACAGCTCCCGAACCAAGCTTCCATTTCAGGCCTCAAGTTTACGGGTTGATGCTTTTGGGTTCAGGGCTTTGAGCGCGGGTCTCCACCAGCGGCTAATAGCTTGTGTGGATGTAGGATTATCGGGTGGGGTAGAGGAAAAGCAGACCTCAGGACTGAACTTTAGGATTGATGGGCTTGTTGAGACGGGTTTTGCTTCGCTGCTGATTTTGGGCTGTGTTTCGTCATTTTTCGACTTTAGCTCCGTAGCCTTAAACCCAACACCCTAGACCTGGCTGCACTCAGGTCCATGATTTTCTGGAAAACTGGGAGCTCAGCATGACCAGGGAGGCCGGACATGACTCCCAGAAGCCCTAAAGCCTGGAGCTTCACGCCCAAAACCTCGAAGCCTGAAGCTGAAACCCCGAACCCGGCCCCTACAGGCCCTAAAGGCCCTAAATCTTAACCCTGCAACCTAAACCCGTGGTGGAGGCATAGCTCCAGAAATCGGTTCTAGAAAGCCGGCTTAGACTCCTGAGGCCTAGACTGTAGACATCTAACAAAATGTGTGTGTCTGTGTGTGTGTGTGTGTTCGTGTGTCTGTGTGTGTGTGTGCGTCTGTGCTTATGTACATATATATATATATACACACACACAGATCCATTGCCACTGTTTCCACTGCTTCGGGCGGAGGGTCAGTTTGACACAGCCCATTGGCTTTCAAAAAACAGATGAAAGAGGCGAGCCGTCCGGTCCTGACCAAAGCATGAGGTATTGATTCTGGGTGCAGACACGAAGGAGGCGGGTCAAAGCTCTGATGTCGTCTCCACAGTTGGAAGGGACATGAAGATACGCACGGATTCCTTGCGACCACAGTCGAATTGACAGTCGGATGATGTCGCAGGAAAGATGGAGAGATGTGCGCGACCTCTCGAACCCCTTAGCTTCGATCTCTTCAGACACAGAGGGCATAGGAAGCCCTTGGAGGCTGGCCAGAAAATCCAAGGGCTCACCCGAGTTAAGACGGCTCAGCGACTCCTCGTGAGGATGGGCAATCCATGACTGGCTATCTGTTGGTCCATGTTGGCCCGGCAAAGGCTGACCAACATAGAGACATGCTCTGGAGTCCATGGTGCCGGCTGTGGCAGGCTGACCTCCAGAAATTCCAAGAGTCCTAGGAGGGTAACGCCATGTTGGAATATCTCGACTCTGGCGTCGAGTCCCGTGGCGCCGGCCAGTCAGCGGCACGACGGAGGGAATTAAGGGCCTCTGATCGGCTGTCTGCCTGTAGACTGTCACTCCAAACTTCGGCAGTGAGCCGTAATCTGCACAACGGTAGGCAAACGCAGGAAAAGGGCTCTGATGCGGCCCCAAAGGTCATCTGACGCAAGAAGGTCTGCGGGCCCATCGAAGTCAATGTGTGCAAGGCAGTCCAAGACTTCCGCAGACGGCTTGTCATTCTCGTCATCTATGGCCTGATGGGTCCCCCAAGAGCGTAGGTCCCTCGGCCTGCAGAGTGCAACGGGTTTGCCACTGCCCAGACTTGGAGCTGGTTGGGCCCTGCCCAGTCCACTTAGTAGAGCGGTTCTGCAAATGCGTGAATGGCGCAGATGCCTGCAAAGCCGTACATTGGTGGCCGGCACAATGCCGAAGACAATGCGCGCACTGAAGTCCCCTCGAAATTCTCCTTACCTCCTCGACTTGCCCGTGGGTTTGCGTGAACTACCCATGCCCGGAAGTCCTTGAACAAGACTTGGCAACAGGCGCAGATTTCCTGTTGCTCCTCCGGTATCAGATTTTCAGCCGGGGCAGTGGCAGCCAGCTTTCGCGCCTGCCTGGGCAGCGGTTGCGTGCCATCGCTCTCGCCTGAGCACGCCGGCAATCGCACGGTTGATGCGCAGTGCTCTATACTTCCCAGGCTTGTCGGCAATTTGCAAGGCCTTCGCGCGGACTTTGCAGAGTCCAGAGCCACTGAACTGATTGAACTGACTCCTGGACGAGCTTCAGCCATCCTCCTTCCCAATGGGCCGGAGCCCAGATCTCCGGGACGTCAAGCCGAATGCAAAGCGGACGTACCGAAGTTGGAAAGCGTGCACATAGGTCTCCGCTTGTGGCATGCCCGCCAAGGCCAAGACCTGCGATGAGCCTAAATGCCACGCCTCCTGGCACGTATAGTGCGGGCGTAGCATCTGGCAGGCCATGTGTCTGAGGACGGCAGACAGAGCTGAGAGATGTTGTGGCTCAATTTCGCCCCATGTGCCCGACCTGCGAAACAAAGCGGAGGCTGTTAGACCAGCGGCGAATTAAAGAGGCACTTCTTCCTCCTATATAGCCTTCCAAGCTGGCGCTGCCCTAAAGGCAAGCTCGTGGCGAAATCCCCCGTTATGTTGCAAGAAGCCGGCTCAAGGCCGATGTCATCCATCCATGTGGCGTCAGAAAGGCCAAGGCTTGTGGTGGGCAATTCTTCAATGGGGAAGATATTGCCAAGCATGGCTGGATGCCTTGGGATCTGGGCAAGATGGCCAGCGCACTTGCCTCAAGACTTTGGAGAAGAGGAAGGAAAACAAGGTCAGACAGGATGCACAAACACACATATACACACACACACACATAATATATATATATATATATTATACACACAGGCATGTCCGATATATGCAAAGTGTGCATATACATAGACGCATATGATTTTCGTATATACGGAGATGTATAGGGGCTTGCTACTAACAGAAGAGTTTAGGGTGTGCTTGTTTTTCGTCGCACAAGCTAATAGATGGTTGGGATTTTGGTGTGGGATGTGGTATGGGGTGCAGCAGACGTTCCGCAGTGGTGGTTTGGCTTTGTGATGTGAGTTTCCACCGCGCGTTCGGGTGAAGATGTTGAACTTGGAGACGCACATCAAACTCATCACTGAACGCTGTCGTTGTAAATCCGGCCAATAACCAGCCGAGGATGATGGCCAAGGCCGAAGCGCTCCAATGTGGTACGGCTTCCCCTCTCGACTTGCCGGAGAAACCATGATCGTGTGACAACCCAAACCTGTTTGTAACTCTCCATGGCCTTGCCTTCCAGTCTGGCGTCCTTACTCCCCCATGTGCTCGCCGTTAAAAAAGTAACCCGGAACACTCTACAGTATCGAGTCGGCATAAATTGGTAGTGCTATGCAGTGAGACAGTCCTTGTTTGTACTATGATGCAAGCCCCGAGCCCTGTTCCAGGTATGAAGACTCTCAATAGTTGTGTCCAGTTCGGATCGACCTGAGAGGTCTTCCTGCGAGAAACGACGGTGCAGCCTCTTCGACGGGAAGATTTAGTGAAAGCCGGGTCCCCTAGCAGCCGTCCGGGCATGAGGCTTGCACCTTCGATGGTGGAGACTTCACGATCTGGGGTTTAACTGGGCCATCAGCTTTTTCTTCAACGTCTTTAGGGCTTTACAGCCGGCCCCCAAAATGAGGCTTGGGGACGGCTGGTCGAGCGGTTGCGTCGGTTTGGTCTTCCTAAACCCTACCCATATAGGAGGCCCCACATCTAATTTGCCCCGTGGCGAACCCCAGGAGTTTGCGTCAATGACCTTAGATGCTCCAAGTGGGAGCGAGGCAGTCCTCGAGCAGGCAGGAGGGGTGCTTTAAAGCTATAGTCTCCATTGTAGTTCCTTTTTTTGGTTTAACCAACTATATATATTAAGGATTTTAGGTATCCCCAAAAAGGAACTACAATGGAAACTACAGGTAAAGCTATAGACAGCGGCGCTCGGTGCTTTTGAAAGGGAGTTGGGCGTTTGGGTTTCCCCTAAACCCTGAACCCTAAGCCGTGTCAGGGGCTTCTAGTGGTTTCGGGTTTAGGGTGCGCAGTACGGCTTGGGGCGTTGACGGACTAGCGCTTGATTAAGGTCTCCAGCTTGGAGCTTTTGGTGTAGTCAGGGTCGGGTGTTGAGGGGTTAGGGCGTTTGAGGTTTGGGTACAGTTTCAGGGCTCTTGGGCCTCAGAGCTTTTGGTCAGAAACTTCCGGGTTGTTGAACTTTGGGCCTTGACTCTAAACCCAAAGCCTTAAACCCTAAATCCTAAACCTATACCCTAAATCGTGGTTTTGATGAAGTTTGCGGTAGGGACATCGGCCCTTGCTTGGGGTTTCAGGGTTAGCTCGAGATTCGGGGCTTGGGCTGAGCCCTGCTACGGGTTTCGGGTTAAGGGCTTCTGGACTTAGGGCTTAGGGTTTAGGGTTTAGGGTTTAGGGTTAAGGGCATTGGGTTTAGGGTTTGACGTTGAGGGCTGAGGGTGAAGGGCGATGGGCTGCTAGAGGATTTGGGGAGTCAGCATCCGGTGTTGTGGGTGCTTCTGGACTTCAGGGTGTATAGTATATGGTGCAGGTCTTGGGGGTTCTTAGTTTTGCTTTTACTGTTTAGGCTTTGCGAAAGCCCCGGCGGTGCGCGAGGTTCTCGTAGCTGAAAGTCTTCGGTGTTTGTGGGTAATGAAACATGCGCTCTTCAACGCCCATCCTTCCGGATACTCCACAACCCAATGAGCATCCTCCTTCGATTCCTCGGAGTCGTATAATTGCAGGGCACCACGTTTCCTGAAACTCCCTTCAGTTCAGAGGTTGCTTCTTAAGGGAAGTTTTACGATTGAGGGCACAACATTTTCTCGAAGTCGAAGCTCAGATCACCGGGCAGGTACTTGCATCTGCAAGACGCCAGCGGAGGTGCCAACTGCATCTGCCCATCAGGGTTTGGGGCGCTGAATCCAGGGTCAGGTTTTGGGTTTTGGGTTGGAGGGTTCTGGGGCTTAGTGCCTTCGTGCTTTATCCTAATCTAATGCGCCCCTCGACTAGAATAGACTAGACCAGACAGACTATACTGTAGTATGCGAGGGGCTTCCTCTGACCAAAGCCTGATCTCCCCCAAGCCAAAACCAGCCAAATCTCCCCCCAACTCCACGATCCCCAACCCCTCAAATCGGTTACTCCTTGCATTGCTCTTTGGGATCATACAACCCCCAAGTCATCCTCAACGTGCAGTTTGTGCTGCAACAGCAATACCATCTAGCCTTTTCAGAGCTCCTTGAACCTCGATCCCCAAAGCTCAAAGTCTCAGCATTCCACTCTCGGTGAAAGGCCTTTTATTGACCTTAAGCGAAGGCTCAGACTCCAGTCGATACCTATATACCCAACTCCCGACCCCACTCCCCAAAGCCTTCAACCGCAAGCCCAACACCCGAACGGGCAAATCTTAAACCGTAATAACAGAACACCCTTACATGTCTGTGGACCCCGCCTTGAGTCCCCTTGAATGCCAAACACGGCCTGCGGTTCAGTTTAGGGATTGGGGTTTAGGTAATGGGGTGTAGGGTTCAGTTTAGTACCAGTGTTCGGGGTTGAGGGTCCAGGGTCTAGGGATTGCGGTTTAGGGAATTGGGGGTTTTAGGGTCTAGTTTAGTACTAGTGTTTAGGGTTGAGGGCTCAGGGTTTAGGGCGCCTTCGCTGTTGTGTTTCCAGGTCGGCTGTCCCCGAGGCTATTCCTGAGGAGCAGTGCAGATGAGGATGTGCGGCACTTACTGGGTTCTTGTTAAGGAACCGAATTTGAGGTACAATAATGGGAATTCCTCATACCCCGCTGGCTTACGGGATCAGGGTTTCAGGCTTCGTGTTTGAAGAGGGAAGGTTTCGCTCTAGGCAGGCACACACACACACAGACTTCCAATTCCGGTACTTCGAGAATATACTTTCCGCCACCATATCCCATGTTGTTGTCCGCATCATCTCCCTGCCAGCTTACTGGAAGGAAGGGCAGGAACAACGGCAATAGAAACACGTGGCAGCAGCGCAATAAGAACGATTGCGTGAGCAGAAGCGTTGGGGCTTCACATGAGTGTCGTGCCAATTGGTTGCTGCTATCTGTTTGTTGGTATGTAGGTACCCAAACAAGTAAGTAAGCAAGCAAGCAAGCAAGTAAGTAAGTATGTAAGTATCGAAGAAACTTTGTATGTACGCATGCATGTCTGTCTGTATGTCTGTATGTATGTATGTATGTATGTATGTATGTATGTATGTATATATGTACGCATGCATGCATGTATGTAATTATGTATGTAGTTACAATGTAGTTCATGACCAGTAACGAGCCTGACGCATCAGGCCCCACTAGCAAATTCTGGTGTATCTTGTTTACGATAGTTGCCCATATTCGTGCGGTTAAGATTTCGTTAAGTGCGTGGCCGTTCGTCACAAACTCTCGATGGAGCTGACTCCTGGCTTTGTTGTGTTACGCCTTTGTCTTTGGTGCTTTCCGGCTGTTGTCTTGGGCATGTACCCTAAACCCTAAACCCTAAAACTTAAACCCCTAAACCCTACACCCCTTACCGAAAGGTTTGCGATTCTTGGGCTTTGATCTTTGACGACCCGGGCTGAGGCAGAATACAAATTCGACGTCTTCGCAATGCAAAGACTCCCATGCAACGACGGATCCGCTTGGAAGGAAAAGGAGCAGCTCTGGGTCGCTAAAGGGGTTATATTTAGTGCTTAGAGTAGGGTTTTTGAGGTATGGTAGGGTATCCTATACAGTCTATAGCATATAGCAGTTAGTATAAGATAGTATATAGTGTATGTTGAGTACTATACAGTATATAGTAGAGAGTACATAGTACCTAGTACCTAGTACTTCGTATACAGAATATAGTATACCGTATATAGAATAGTAAACAGTATATAGTACATAGTATATAGTACATTTTAACATAGCATATAGTATACAGTATATAGTATGTAGCATATAACCTAGGTGTATAGTACATAGTGTATAGTATCTACTACACAGTGTATAGTATACAGTATGTATTATATAGTATAGTAGAGTAGAGCTCCAATACAGGGGCTTTAGTATTAGAGGAGGGTTTTGGGGTATGGTATAGTATAGTCATCAGGATGCTGTTGCTGATTATTTAGGCTTCTACACAAGCGGGACCGTGAAAATCATGATTCGCTTCAGGGTCCAACCATAGTCCCTGCATGTGTGCTAGCTGCTGACTGTGCATAACGCTAAAGCGGAACCCCCGTCCATATCGCCCAGAGCCTTATACTTGTATACACTGTTTCAGTCTTCGGTTGCTAAGCTGCCGTCCTTAGTCCCAGCCTGCCTGGCCCAAAGCATCGAAAGCAAAAAGCCGAAGCCACGAATCCCCGAACCCACGGCGTGACTCCAAGATTCTTACTGGCCTTACCGATCTTCGGACGGCATCTGGAGGTTGACACTGTTGGTGCTTTCGATCCTGGTTGCGGCTCTTTAAGCAGCCCTGAAAGATTTCACCCTAGAGTTGCATCTCCCTGCACCTATGATCCATGTTCCCACTGGCTGCATTTCTGGATTCTGACGAGCCGAAGGTTTCAGACAAAAGACTGCACGTGCTAAGCAAAGCTCATTCCTGAATAGAGAAGTGTAATGTATGGTTCATAAAGGTTTAGGGTTCATAGTGCAAGGTTTGGACTTATCTGTGAAGGCTTTTGGACGGCATCTCTGCTATGTCGCAACCGATGACAGTGGCAGGGAAGGTTTGCGTCGTCACTGGAGGCGTGCAGGGTAAGTACTATGATACGCATGCCGCCGGTTCGCAGAATGCGTGTATATTCACTGCAGCTCTCTCTGTCTGCCTCTGCTCCGCTCTGGCTGTCTCTCCCTCTCTCTGACCCTCTCTCTCCCTTTCCGTCTCGACGCTGTCTATCCATCCATCTTCGTCTTGAACACAGGTGGTAGCGGGATCGGTCCCTGCCTCAGTGCAACCTTTCTTGAACCCGGGTTCTGGGTCAACAGCGTTGGGGTGTAGTCGCAGTGCTCCCTTCGAATCCCGCAATGAAAGAATCACAAAGTAGCATACAGTATTAGTTACTACATCATAAACCAAAGTCTTAGTTACTTTCTTATATTATAGTTACTCTATCATAGCAGAACTACACCCACCTCCCAACCCCCGGCCCTGAAACCCCGAGCTTGCAACCCAAAGCCCTAAAGCCCAAAAGCTTGACGGCCCAAAACCCGGAATCCGAAGCCCTAAACCCCTGGAGTCCGAAACCCCTTCACCCCTTAGTCGATCACCTTTCACTTCCCCAAATTTATAAGCCCTATATAAGCCTTGGCAGCTTTAGCATCCTTGCGAAGCTCAAAAGCCGTGCCAAAAAACCTTTATTATGTCCCAAGGTGCGGCACTGTGCCGGCGCTTCGCCGAACTTGGCGCGAAGCGCGTCGTCGTCGCCGACTTGAGCGAGGAAGATTTCCGTGGGTTCCAGTGACCGCTGGGAGTAACAACATAAGTTAGTCTGAGGGGTTCAGGCTGCAGGCGTCTGGTGTATATTTAGGATTTAGGACCTGTTGTATACGATGTTCTGCTTTGTCACGGACAGGGCCCTGGAACCCGACTCGCATCTTCGAAGCAGCCAAGATTTTGGGTGGTTTCTGGGAAGAGGCTCCTGCAGGATACCTCAATAATGCCGTACCCTGCACCCTGAACCCGGATATCCTAACCCCAAACCTTGAACCGCTGATACCCTAAGCCTAAAGCCGTTAACCCTAATTTGGCCGACGCTGGTGCCAGAGATCTAGATTTAAGATGTTTTCTTTGCTGATGCAGGCCCAATCCCCCGAATCCCAAACGCTAGAACCCTTCTTATATTTAAGTAAACAAACCAGCGATGTTCTTATGGGTATTTTGCAGTGGAATGACAATACGGAACCTGAAGGACTCGTATCTCCCACTTTCAGGCCTCGGTTGTAGCAGTGGACTTTAGAGGCTGAGCGCGATGCTGGGGGCAGCATGTCTACGCCATGGAAATCCTGAAATGTGCTTTTTGCGGCGTCATCCTGAACGATATTGCTGTTGTTCCCCATAAGGGGTGGTAGATATTCGTTGTTAAATTCTGCATTACCTGAAGGACCCTAAACTATGCATGGGAGTTATGGTATATATTCCTGGTTACGGGTAATGCAGGATTTATATCATCAGCCGTACTGCATGACTGTATGATTGCCTGAATCATGTCATAATTAGCATCACTATACTATAATACCACATACCACAGTAGTCGTATAATCTTACCATAAAATTTACCATAGTATTGCCGTAATCTTACCATAGGATTACCTTGTATAATTTGCATAATCATGACCCTCATTTCAGGAGTCGGCGCGTGCAGTTTCCTCGTCCTTCAATGGCATTCCGGTGCGCTGCAATGTGGCGCAGGAGCCGACTCGGACTTGGGGTTCAGGGCCGTAGGGTTCAGGGTCGTGGGTTTTCGGCCAGTGTTAGTGTGTAGAGTTTAGGGAGGCCAATTTAGGTACGATTTTGGTTTAGGGTTCAGGGTTGCGGGTTTAGGGCCGGTTTAGGGTTACGGGTTTATGGCCGGTTTATTGAGGATTTAGGGTGGTTTGGCATCGTATGAGGTGCTCTTGCTTGGGGTGTGGGGTCTTGGTCAGCTGGGTCTGGGTTACAGGCTGTTAATTCTCGGGGCTGTGGCATCTAGCCCGAGAGTTTAACCAGCTGTCCACCGAGGAGATGGACGTTCGGCGCTTGATCTCGATTGCGGAGGCGCGCCTGCAACCTGCCTTGATGATGCCCTCAAAACCATTTTGGCAGCTTGAATCCCAGGTTTGCATGTTAGGGTCTGCAAAGGATAGGGCATGCGGTTTTCCCAGCGCGTAGCTAGTGCTGACAGTTTTGTCGTCGGGTTGTGATAGACGCTTCTACATTTGACTCCATGTCTTGATCGAACAAGTCAACAGTTCAAGAGCGCAGATGTAGACAGAGATGCAGTTTGAAAGTTGCAGTTGGCTTCTCTAGAAATGGTTCATTCGGGGTAACAGTCGAACTATGGCAGAAGACTTACTGAGGCGGCCCTAAACCCTAATTAAACCCTAAAGCCTACACCGTAGGGGGTACTGCGCTGCCTAAGTACGGAAGGCCGTGGCAGGCCCCATTGACATCTTCGTGGCGAACGCAGGCGGGGAATTCGGTTGGAAACCGCATAAACCCTAAACCCATCTAAACCCTTATAAACCGCTAAGCCCTAAATCAAACCCCCATGCAAACCCTAAACCCTTAAACCTCCCTAGTCCGTGCGACGCATGAGAAGGTCGATCACCCGGTGCAGTTAAGATATGAGGACCTCCGACTCTAGAGAATGCGTGTGCTTCTGTGTTTCTCAACCTATATACAGGTATACATGTAACTCGTTCGTATTCATGTACGTATGTTCGCAGGTACCTACTTAACGCAATGTACGCAGGTACATAACGTACGCAGGTGTATATTATATATATATATACATATATATATATATATATATATATAGGTAAGTCAATAAATAAGTAGGTCGATCAATCAATCGATCGGGCGGTCGGTAGGTAGGTAGGTAGATGGGTGGATGGGTAGATGGGTCGGTAGGTGGGTAGGTAGGTGGGTAGGTAGGTAGGTAGGTAGGTAGGAAGGAAGGCAGGCAGGTAGGTAGGCAG